GGAGACGAGGCAAGAATCTTCAAAGCTAAGCTAGTGGCTAAAGGTTTCATCCAAGAGAAGTGCGTGGACTACAACAAAGTTTTCTCACCTGTAGCTAAGTATGCTACAATTCGTCTAGTATGTGCACTAGCTGTGATATTTGATCTTCTTATGGATCAGATGGATGTGGTTACAGCTTTTGTCTATGGATATTTAGAGTAGGATATCTACATGAGACAACCCGTTGGTTTTGAGATCAAAGGCAAAGAGAGGTTGGTTTGTAGATTGTTGAAATCATTGTCTGGATTGAAGCAAGCTACTAGGCATTGGAACATGCGATTTGATGAGTTCATGAAGTCACAAGGTTTTTTACGGAGTGTGTATGATCTTTGTGTCTACATGAAGAAGGTAAATGATGATACGTTCAATCTCATCATTTTAGTTATCTACGTTGACGACATGCTCATACTGGCGAAGAACATCCGATGTTGATGAATGCAAGCGTAAGTTGAAGTTTGGATTTAAGATGAAGGATATGGGGGAGTCGAAGAGAATATTGGGCATGCAGATTCATAGGGATCATGAACAGAAGAGACTGTGGTTGAGGCAAGGCAAGTATGTCCGTCATATACTTTATAAATTCAACATGATTGATTGCATAGGAGTATGGACTCCTTTGGCGGCACATTTCAAACTCTTTGCAGCTCAATGTCCTACCGATGATGTGCACAAAGAAAATATGTCATGTGTTCTCTATGAACAAACCGTAGGCAGCCTCATATATTTGATCGTGTGCACTAGGCCAAACATTGCTTTTGCGATGAGCAAGGTGAACAGGTACATGTCAAATCCAGGGAAAGTTCACTGGGAAGCAGTGAAATGGATTATGAGATATTTGAAGAGTACTTTGGATTATGGCTTACTGTTTGATGGTCTATTAGACAATGCCAAATCCTTGCTTGGTTACGTTGATGCTGACTACGAACATGATAAAAGGAGATTTAGAATTGGGTATGTGTTTACACTTAGCGGTGGAAGTATTAGTTGGAGATCTACCTTGCAGAAATGCGTAACTCAGTCAACAACGGAAGCTGAATATGTGGCAATAGCAGAAGCGGCAAAGGAAGCTATTTGATTCGATAGGCTTATCATGGAAATGGGTTGAAGCAGTGCGTGATTAATCTTCATTGTGATAGCCAGATGGATTTACATTTGGCTGCGAACCAGGTCATGGATAGCAGAATGAAGCACATCAATATCAGGTATCATTTTATCAGACAAGCAGTGTATGATAAAACGATTGAGCTAGTCAAGATCGACGGTAAACTCAATCCAGCTGATGCTTTGACCAAAGTTATTCCATTAGAGAGTTTCAGGCGACACTGTGCTACCGTGCAGTTTGTGCATGGGGAGTACATGTAGAATTTGCTAGCATAGTAACTTTAGTTATCTCTTTATATATTTACTCTATCTTGTGATGGCTACGGTTTAGCTCTAGTTAACTCTTGCGTAAAGAGAGAGCTTGTATTAAGTTTTTGTCCAGAGCTTCCCGCGGAGTAATTATATAGACTATGAAATCTCTAATCCCTCTATGCAAGCAGGTATTCTATTCACCTCTTTGTGTTATTACTCTATCCTGTTATGGCTACGGTCTAGTTCTAGTTAACTCTTGTATAAAGAGAAGCATGGTGTTAGGTTTCTGTCTAGAACTTCCCGCTAAGTAATAATATAGGTTACATAGGTTACTGTTTCCTTAACACGAGTTAAGGAGAAGATTGTTGGGGTTAACTTTAGTTAAGGAGTAACCTCAGGTTATAGCTATTTATAGCTAGTTCTGTCGCTGGCTTTGAGTATAAATATAACCTCAAGGCCAAGGCTTCTTCCCGGAGCAGTATTGTGTATTCACCTTGTAATTACGAGCTAGTAATCTTAGGTCTATGAGTTTTCTGCTATCACTTCACATTGTTGATCATCCAAGTAGATAGTAGTTTTTTTTCCTGCCAAGTGTAAGTGTGTTCTTGCACTTGTCTTTGAACATGACTACCTCAAAAGTATTTTGATTTGCCTAAATGACCTTAATGTGAAGCCATACTTTTATACTCTTCTATATGTTTTTTTTTGGTCAAAAAGTGATGTCTAATCTCTTCATGTCTTCTCACATTTTCCGTCCATTCATGAAGAAGGTCTACACCATCGGTATGTACCTCCCTACTCATATATGCAATGCCATCACATTGTTGTTAGATGACTGATACTGGTATGTAGTGTTTTTTTCTCGCTCGTTTTCTCCCCATAGTTACCTGATATGATTGTTGATAATGCGCAATGTATATATCCAAAGCAAAGATTGTGGATGAGGAGCATGTTGAGGCTAGTGACAATGCATATTTTTAAAATGTCCAGATCTCATAATTGGTTCAACGTGTTCTGTTGGACTAATTCTAACATATATTTATTATGAATTAGAAAAAATATCTGAGAATTTCATACTTTGTAAGTTATGACAACTACAAGGATGAGATGCACAATTTGATGAAATGATAGAACCAAAGACTATGTTTGAGAGAAACATCTTTATGATTTCATGAAATTACTTGAGCGCTCAAATGTCTACATATGAGTGAGAATTATTCTAAGATGATTTTGATTATTTTGGTGATAACACTTGAAGTGATTCAATGTCACGTCCATCGATACTCTATAAGATTGATTGTTGTTTGTGTGAAGTGATATTAGAAATAGCCAAAAAGTTGATCATGATTAATTTAAGTACAACTAAGTCTAGCTAGTTATGATTAAATCTAGCTAGTTGTAATCAAGTTTATCTAGTTATGATTAAATTTAGCTATGATGTTTAATTTGTCAAAATAATTAGATGAATTTTAGAAAAATTGAGTGAGAACTATTATTTTGTCTCCAAAAAAAATTTAGATTCTAAGAGAAAAGAAAATTGACTACATTATTAGTTTTGATTGATTTGACTAGGTAAAAAATAATAATTTTTTTACCTAGTCAAACATATACCTAGTTGACTAGGTTTGAAATGAAGATTATAAAATTTTGAAAGTCTCAAATATCATATCATCATCTCAATCTAGTAGCAAGAAATCTTCTAGAATGTTTAGGTAGGTCAATATCATGTTAATACATATTAAAAATTAGTCAAACATACCTAGTTTTATCTTTGTAAAAGTAAATTAGATGATATTGTTATTTGTTACTATGACAATCATTCAAGTAGTATAAGTAGAGAGGTAAAGAACAAACTCTCAAGCAAGTTTAGAAAGTTCATTGTGTGAGAATTTATTTCATTAATATAAGATTGAATTACACTATGACTTTTGGAGTATTGATGAATGTTTGTAATTGAATGATGAGCAAAGAATTTATGTGACAATTTGTTTGGAACACGTACAAGTTGAAAATTTTTACCTTTTAAAATTATAATGAGCAAAGTAATGTGAGTTAAACCTAAGTGAAAATCAGACTAGAGTTCACAATTCTCGATGCAGCCTTACCTTGCGATACTTAGCATGCCATTATATGTGGACATAAGGATTAAAATGAAGTTGATTCCTGGATGTTTTTTAGAGCACACAATTTTGTAGACTAGTGTAGATGCAAAATCTCAAATTTCAAGCTTGTGAAATAGAGAATCACAAATATGATATTTGGAAGTTTTGATAGAGTGAATATATGTAACACTAGGTTTTAGAGAGAAGTTCATTTGTAGATGAAAACATAAACTCTGAAGATGAAAAATACCAACAATGGTTTTCCTCTTCCTTAAATAGCTTATACCAACAAGTACAAGGAAATAAAATCTCATTCTCACCATACATTCAATCTCTAATGGATGTATGATATGACGGATAACTTTAACAAACACACGGATTGCTAACGTGACGCTCTCAACTAACACACTCAATCCTTACGTAATGAACACACGAATTGCTGACGTAACACTTTAAACTAACACACTTACTCTCTACCTACCAAGTGTGCGGATTGTTAATGTGGCAGGAATGAATTTTGCACGCTAAAGTGACTATAACTTCATCTTGAGTATCCTCTACTTTAATTCTAACTAACCAAAGATGATTAAAGTATCTTGCATTTCATATGCCAAGATATGTGCATAATGTATTTTTTTTCCAAAGATTTGATCTTGAACGTGACTTGTGAATATTAAATCCTCATTTATGTATATTAGTACATAGTTGTGCGTGTAAAATGATTGTTGGTGCGTTGATTGAATAAAAATTTGGTGAATAGCATATCGTCCAACTATAATACCCTTTTAGCATTGAGTTTTGCAAATCTTTTGATGTAAGGACTCAAAAAGGTGACTTCAGAACTATTTTGTTTATTTGTCATCAGGAGCAAAGCCAAAATTTTTCAGGTGTGAAATAACCTACTAGGTAGCGTCGCACGCGATTTTTTTTGTTAGCTAATTCTGTTACAGAACTGTGTTAGAACCAAAACACATTGGAGAGAATTCAAAAAAATAGATTCAAACTGTAAAAAATCAAATTCTCTATATAAATCCAATTGCATTGTGTTAAATTAAAAATTCTATAACCCATAACAAGAAATTCAAAAAAGTAGATCCAAAGTATAAAAAAACCAAATTTTATTTATTAATCAAACTTCATTGTGTTACAAACAAAATTACTGTCATTCATGACAGAGAATTCAAAACAAAAAATCAACTCTATAAAAAATCCAAATTCAATGTATCAATCCAATTGCACTATGTTAAAACTAAAACTCATGTCACCCATGATAGAAAATTCAAATAAGTAGATCAAAATAGTAAAAAAACTTAATTCTTTGTATTAATCAAATTGCAAACATCGAGTGCTCAGCGCTTGAAATTTCTCGATAATAACGTTAGTGGTGATTAGTTGTGCTAACTTTCTTTCAACAAACATCTTGATAGCGTCAGCAAGGTACACATCTCACATTTTGTTCCTCAACCTCATTTTCACAATCTTCAATGCTGAGAACGAACGTTCTGTTCACGTAGTGCTGACAGGTAAAGTTGAAGTCAAATTGATATGTTGGAAAACAAGATGATAAGTAACAAACTTCTTGAGTTCAAACATCTTTATAGCTAAAGCAGAAAGAGATTGAATTCCAAAAAAGTATCCATTTAAACTCAGCTCTATTCAAAATTGCAGAATCTGTTGTTCTAACATCACCAAATCATATTGTTCAAAGTCATGTGGATTGATCAGCCCCAATTCAACTAACTCTAAGACAGTTCCATGAATGCGAAGATGATCTGGACATAAATGGACAATCCGTGTGAGCAATGCAGATGAACATTCAAGGAAATGGTCATCACGTTCACTTAAATGTGATTCTACGATGTTGAAGAAGATATCCACATTATAATAATAATCACAAGTGATGTTGTCAGCATTGCAACGAGGACGTATCGTAAGCACATAACTTGATTCCATATCAAGGGCAATGATGTTTTTTGCAAGTCAAAAAGATCAAATCGCTCCATATATCGTCTTCCATCCTTCTTTCAATCTCATTTCTTGCAATTCATACTTGCAATTCTTGCAACAAGATCCATAGTGTTGAGGATTTTTTGGTCCGTACACTATAAAGCTTAAGAGAGAACTGCAAACTTGTTCAAAACCGACTTCATAATGTGAAACATTAGAACAAAGTCAAAATTGCATATTGCTTCCAACAGTCTTGACGCTTCTGCTTGAATCTATTACAGTCGCATCTTCCACAATAATTTCAAGAACTTTGACAACTAAATCATACAGATCAAGCATTTTCAAATAAAAACAAAATGAGTGTTTCATCTTGTCTCTCTTGATCGCTGAAATGATTGCTCTGATTTAATCCGCGACATGTTCACATTTCTTTGCCAACCATTGCATCACAGATGTTAGCTGCTTGCAATTCTTGAACTGATCCGCACGTTTACAAGAAACACCTACCGTGACACATAATGATGACAATTCAACAAAAAATCGGCAAGCTTTGATATGATTCTTGGATGCTGACATCAAAGCAAGTTTGTGTGCAAAACAATGAACATAGTATGATGAAGATACTTCTCTTTGGATGATAGTCTTCAATCCGTTAATGTTTCCATGCATATTAGATGCTCCATCATATCCTTGTCCTTGTACACAAAATAACAAAAAACTGTGTCGGCTCAAAGTGAACACAATGACAACCATCAGCAATTTTGAACTTGTATCAGCAAAATGTGTCATATCCAAAAATCTCTCCTAAATTATTCCAGATTTGTTGACAAACCTTAGAACCAAAGACATCTGCTTCTTTTTCAATTCATTTTGAGTCTCATCAATTAGCAAACAAAAAAAGTTGTCATCAATTTGCTTCACAATATGTTCCCGGACATATGAAATCATGGCTCTTAGTATGTCTTTTTGGATGTTTAGAAACGTCATCATCGCATTCTTTGATGCACGATTAAGACAAACACGTTAATAATTTATAGAATGCTGATTGAGAAGAGTAAATAGTTGAAGAAAATTTTTCACGATAGAATGACTTTCTAGACTTCTCATGATCACAAAGAACAAGACCTTGATGTGCCAAAAATCGCACTGTATCGATAGATGCTATCAACCAAAGTTTGTGATCAGCTTTTTCTTGTTCGGATTGACAATCTAGTGTGGCTTCAATTAATAAACGTTGGTTTGATAATGATTTTCAAGCAATGAAGTGCAAAGAGTGAGCTGAAGTGTGTTTTCCGACATGTTTTGCCAATTTATAGTATTTTCTAGTAATTTTGTTCTAGCTTGCAATACCTTCATAAACAAATTGCTTTGAAGCTTGTGTATCATGCGCAAATAAATAACAAGAAAGCAATATACAACATCTTTTGCAAGACTGTATTCAAGCTAAGGATGCAAAGCAAACCATTGAAAACAGAAATGGCAAAGTTTATCAGCTTGTTTTATAGAAGGATATTTCAACAGTTGTGGTTGAAAAGACCCTTTAGATATGTAATCCTTCCAAATTACTATCCCTCAAATCGGATAGGACAAAATGGTTGGTATCAGACGTGGATCACGCTCCAACGTGATCACAAACAGATCCTCTGTACACTGACGTTTTGATGCATGAAATGTTAACATCACTGATACGGACGAACTCGACTTTTCTAATCACAACACAATCAAAAAATAGAAATCACAAACGTCAGGCTTTTCCAACCTTGAAACAATCAAAAACAAAAATACAAGAGTTATATTTCTCCAATCAAAAGAAGCATCTGACTTTCTTGTGTATATAATGTTTTGCATGTTGATATCTTGCTGAAACTTATAGTTTAGAAAAAATAGCAGAAGTAATGAAGTTTAATCACACTAATTGGGGATAGCTTAAAATTTACAATCATGACACTGATCACACATGTATCTAGGAAGCACAATATAGTAGTCTATAATATCTAGGAGAGAGAAAAAGTGCCAAGATTAAGGATAAAAAGACAATATCCACTTCATGAATGATAATACACTACATTCAAAAACATCACATTGAAATAGAACCGTTCTAATAGATGATGTACATGTAACTCTTGCATCACAGAGCATTGAAGAATATTTCTGCATAATGAAATCTCTTTGTGATTTGAATAAATATCACTCCTGAAGTGCAGTTTATGACTTGAATATGTCTTTTCATCAAATGACTATTTTGATTGTGACAATATATTTGTGATCCCTACACGTTTAACCATGCTAATTGAGGATAGCTTAATATTTACAATAACGACATTGATCTCACATGTATCTAGGAAAAAAAATATAGTAGTGTATAGTATCAAGAGATAGAGAAGTGTCAAGATTAAGTATAAGAAGACACCATCCATTTGATGAACCCAAATACACTACGTTCAAAAACTTCACGATGAAAGAATGTTTTTTTGTTTATTGGACTATTCAAAGTATCACACAGATAACTTCAATGTGAATATCTAACTTACAAACAATTTGTTCGTGGAGCGATACTGTGGACAATTAGAGTTTCTAGCTGGTAGGAGGCTTAGTGCTGTTGTGACTAACAGGTCAAAGAAAAAAAATCCCTACTCCCCACGGACTCTTCAAATGTTTTTTATGCTCCGATGAAGCCTATTCGAATGAGTATCTTGAATCAAACAAACAATTCAAACATATGCAGAGAAAAATGAAGTGCTCGTATGAAGCTTGCTCGTATGAGTATCTTGAATCAAACAAACAGTTTGAATAGATGCAGAAAGAAACGAAGTGCTCCTACAAAGCCTGCCCGTATGAATATCTAGAATCAAACAAATTGTTTGAATGTCATGGGTCTCGTTTTTTCTTGTCGCGGCTTGGAGAGAAAGAACGTTAAGGTGACGCTAGCTCCATAATAGATGCGCACGTGTGTTTTTTCAGTTTTGCGTTTTTGAAGGTAGGATTTGCTTGTAGGGAGGACGTGCCCTCCTGCCCTCTGTAGCTCCACTATTGTTTGTCATGATTATGAGATTTTGATGTACCCAAATTTGATATATAATGAATTCAACTCGCCATTTCATTTTGTTTGCAATGTGCTTCAACAAAACAAAGCTTTTTATTATGTATTTGTGGACTGGATTTCTATTTTGTGTGTATATGACCGTGCTTTATGCTCAACAAATAAGATATGTATGTACTAGTATAATCTAATGTACTTTTGTATCTGATTTCTACTGCTATGTGTCTAATACTTGATCTTGGCTTCTTGTGTCCATATTATTTGTGATGTTTAGTTAAACATTCTGATATATTGTTGTCTTTGATCTCTCTCGGCTTGATAAGTCTCAAACATGCATTATTTTATTATGTACATTCACAACTGCACGTTTTTTTCTTTCTGAAGTGACATATCTTTTTACAAAAGAATCTCTACCTTCCTAATCTTAAAAATTGTGTGAACAACATTTTCAATTTTTATTTTCAAGTTTTGAGTAAAATTTGACGACGGCAAACTTAAGCTGTAGTATGTAAATTTCTAACATATCTATGTATTGTAAAATCGTATGTGCTTTGAACATTGTTGTTCTACAATGTTTATCAATCTCTATGGTCTAAGTTGAAAATTTCTATCGAGATTACTTTAATCAACATGGTGATCATTATTTTCTTGCACAGCTTGATTTGTTACAATGTGAGTTTGGCGCTTAATGCTTCATGATCTTTTGATCAAGATGAAGACTGAAGGCATAGTGTGCGATTTTGACTTACCTTGCACAAGTATAACATCAAAGAGACGACCAATTTTAATCATGCTTTTGATGAATAAACGTTGAGTTATATTGGCATAGATGTTGATGCCCTCTCTATTGCTTCTACTCATTTTGTCATGAACAAATCAAATACTGATCCAACGCTCGTCAATTAATGTGGCGTTGTGTTGTTGCATGCTTTGGTAGATAATTATATTACTCCATTCGTAGCCACATCGATGGCAGCAAAAGCATAACATGATCATTCCGCCCTATCGTTAGCAAATGCTTCTTCACACCTTCTTCATAGCCACAAAGTCACTCATGCAAGAAATGCCGATGATGCGCAAGATTATCACAATAGGTATTGCAATGGCAAAACCTTCAAGCAAGTTGGGACTTTCAAGCGGTCAATTTTGCACATTATAGCCCGCAGCATATGGTTACAAGAAATTGTTTTAAAACTTGATGACGGTGTGTCGTCGTGATGATCCATGAGGTAAAAGTATAAGTGATGAGTTCTAATAAGCTATTTGTGTTATTCAACGTCGCATCAAGTAATTTTTTCCTATGATGTAGATGATAGCTCTTTGACATATTCAAATGTTGGGAGCGTGAGCATTTGAGACATTTGACGGTGCAAGTGAGTGCTTTTTTTCTTGTCATGTTTAAATCAAGAAAGAAGTTAGCATTTGACACATTTATACGGTAAAATGAGGATTTTTTTATTATTATCTAGACCAAAAGGCAAGTGAGAAGACTATTTACTTGGTTTAGAATTGATAGTGGTGACGATTGAGCCTCAATCAAACATCTTATGGAGTTTTGAATGTCATGAAGAAGATTGCATATTCAACTAGCAATTCTTCCTCAATCTCACTTAGATCAATTATTTTGGCTAGATCAACCCTGATCAAATTCACATTGATGTGGAGAAGAGTTTGCTAATCACCAAAAATAATATAGAGAAAGAGAATCATGTTATAGCAAGTTTTTGAACTTACTAATTGCTCATCAATCACTATGTATATAAATTTTGAAAAAGTTAAAACTGATAATCATATTTTTCAAGAATGCTAGTTAAAGTTAATCAATAGATTAACTAGACTTAAATTAGAGTTTAGGATACATAATAAATTGCATACCTCAATGTTGATGGGTGTAAACTATGAAGACAACACTTAACAAAAACAATATGGAATAAACTTTATGATCACAAGATGAAATACGATGAATAAGTATGTTTTAAGTTGAACTAGGCATTATGTGTATTTTAAAACTTGATATGTTTGTCAAATATAGATTATAAAATATCTAGACTTTTATAAATATTTTTTAGCGAATAAATAATCAATAAATTTTTTAGCTTTGCATAGTTTGAATATAATGAGTATATATCTTCATCCTTATTGTATATAGCCCAACTTGTGGAGTCTTTAAGTTTTTTAATCGTTGTTATTGAACTTTGATGGTGATTTCTCATCCTATCTATATTCCTTACATGATTAGAGCTTGAAGATCTAATAAGGACTCTGAGGACTTTCCATCCGATAGTGATGTTTAAAGGCTGACTTTAGCCACCTTGAGAGTCAGAGCAATATCTAGCCGTTGAAAAAATCAACCATCTTTCTTGCTTGAATCTTGTCTAAAAATTAAAACACGTGTAATTCCATTTTCAACTAAAATCACACAGCTTCTTGGCATGTGCAAACGAATTCTTTGTCTCAAAGTTATCTACATTTGGCATTGTACTTGCATGGCGAGCCTAAACTCGGGTTCCTAATCACCTTAGAACTTTCTTTAGTATTTTCAAAGTTAACTACATGTCTATAGGGAATGTGGGGTTTTTGAAGCGAATACTTATATTTTAGAAATTTTGCAGATGTAAAGATTGCCAAGTAGACGGTAGACAACTTAGTTTTGATATATATCAAAACTAAGTTGTTTTCAGTCTCCTTTCCAACCAACTTCTAATGCCATATATAATATATGGCATAAGAAGTTGTGAAGATGTACACTCTCGGTATCATATAGTCGATTTATTTTCTTTTCGCTACTTACGCTCTCTCTGGAGGAATTATTTCAAGGACGGCTTTCAACCCATACAAGTGAAGAAATCAGGACTTCAAAACAGAGGTAAAGTCTTAAAGAATAATTTTTAGATGAAGTCTACATCTTAAGTACATTTAGACACTTTCGATTAAGAACTCACGGATAAAG